GGGAGGGGAAGGCGGCGCCTGCACATATCTACCTCCATACGATATGTCAAGGTTATGTTGGTGCCATCCTGGTGAGCCAATGTTGAGAGGAGGATGGACCACGCTCGCCCCCCTCCCTCCCTTCACTCTCCTACCCCGCTCTGGGACGACGAGCCGTTTCACGCTTTGGGGTCTCTTCCCACGTGTTTCACTCTTTCTCCTCTTCTATCGAGTGCTTTTTTGTTGCGGCCCCTAGCTGAAATTCTGCCTGCAGTGCTTCTTCCTCGTTCCCAATCAAGCGAAACTGTTCATTTTGTAAAGATGGAGTTTTTAATTCGTTGTAGAACTGTTGTGGCTCATTGGCTCGTCCTTTTTCTTTGTGGCTTCTTGCTCCCCATCGCCCCCCTTTTTTTAAATGCCCCTGCCTGGTTTGCACGACCTCCTACCGGTAGTTCCATTTCCCCTGCTTCCCCCAAACACAACGAGCCAGCAGTCCTTGGACCGGAATATGATTTCTATGCCCTCATGATGACTGGGGCCTTATGTCGGAGAAGATGGTAGCAGGATGGGCTATGCGGTTTCTTTATGATTATTATAGAAAAAAAGGGAAAATTGTTGGAATGCCCCTAAAAGTTGGGGTATATCATCAGGTACTTCTAAAACACAGGGGTATAGACATGCAGCCATGTGCAACTTTCTGATATAGGTCTGGCCGGATGTTTCCTTAGCCATTAGAATTTTTGAACATGGGTTTAATTGCCAGAAGTATGGGGACATATGGAGAAGTTTTACGGGGCTCGGTATGGGCATATGCAAAAGATGGAATGTCCAATGCACAAGCGGGGTGTTTCACGAAGTTTCACGTCTGTGAGGAGGGCATTTTCCCATACCCCTGTGTTGCAGGGGTATCTGACGAAATACCCCAACTTTCAGGGCCATATCAGCAATTCTCCCTAGAAACGAAGTTGGGCTATGGCTGTTCCATCATGCATAAAGACTAAGTCTTCAAGTTGGCGATTTAATTAGAGCAAGGATGCCATCAAGCCTGGGCCCTTGTAAAACCACCAGTACTTGGCCCAGCTATGAAGTCTGAGCCTTGGCCAACCGGTATGGCGATCCGTGCTGAGGCTGGAACTACCGGTCACTTCCCAGGCCTACTCTAAAAGAAAAGAAAAGAAAAGAGAAAACAAAAGAAAACAAAGAAAAATAAAAAAGAAAATGAGAGAAACATCGGATTTACTTCTTTATAAAATAAAGACAAGGAAAACAAAGAACATAAAAAGCTCTCTTTTCCTTGGCGTGCGCGCGTGAGCAAAAGAGAGAGAGAGAGAGAGAGAGAGAGAGAGAGAGAGAGAGAGAGAGAGAGAGAGAGAGAGAGAGAGAGAGAGA